TCAATTCGCTGTCTAGCAAGGAGGAGGCCTCGTCGGCCTTGTTGTCCATTGATCCCAAGAAGTAAGTTAACGCCTGCCCCCCTTTTAGGATATCTTGATCAAGTCCAGAAGGTTCCGTGGGGAGACCTTCGCCCGTGCTTCGGCTCCTTACACAGGCCCCGGTGGCGTGGCCCTCGGTGGCACTCATCTCCGCGGGGCAGGTATTCCCACACCTGAGACTTAAGACTTAAGACCACAGGACCTGTAATGTAGAGTGCAGTGCTGCGCTTCCTGGGAAGCCTCGCCCTGCAGTGTTGGGCCCCATGCATGTGAGCCAGATCTTCCGAAACATTGCAGGGCCTGCATCGGCATGGAGCCCTTCCCTGTACGCCCTGCCACGCCACAAACACACTGGCCGCCAACGGCGGCCGCTTCGCCACGTCGCTACGTTGCTGGAGTTGGGCTGGGCAGGACCTGGCAGGTGTCTTCCGGCTTGTCGCCCGCAAGGAGTAGGACTTTAGGCTGTGGATGCAAGGTTTCTGCTCAGGCCCTATCGTGCCATCCCTCAACCCATAGGCCCATACACGGTCAGCTTGCCGAAGACAACGTTGCGGCTCTGCCCCAATGGAGGCTCGGAGGCTGATGCTGGAGCTGATCTGCGAGACCTGCCACCGGGTTGCTGTTTCCTGGGAGCATTCCGCCCCCCGCGATAGAGGGCCAGGGGGGTGACTTAGGGATTTAGGGTTGGGGTTCAGGGAATTAGCGACTTAGGGGGTTTGGGATGTGCATATTTTGGAAGGCAGCTAGCTGGGTGTTCGCGTAGCCAAGGCCGTCAGGCACCCCGAATTGCCCTAAAGCCTGCAAGCGACATCTTGAGTGAAGTTAATGCTCTGATCCGGACATCCTCTTGGTGGCATCTCTGTGGGCGCCTGGGACAAGTCCAACTTTCCAAGGGCCGCCCCTCCAACTTGACGCGCGAAGCCCGATGGTTTGCCAAGCGTGGAACGGTATGGCTGTAGCGGAGCCGTGGCTGCGGAGCGCAGCTTCTTCTGGTGCCACCCCCAATGCTTGCCTGCCTTTCCTCCGCCTTTCCTCCGCCTTTCCTCCGCCCTTCCCTTGGCACAATGGGCCTGGCTTCGCACCGTGCTCAGCATAACGTTCAGCACAACGCTTTGCACGCGTTGAAGAGTCCTCTGTGCCTCTGCTGACTTGTTCTTTCTCTCGACGGGCCCATCAGCCAGCCAGAGTTTGACAAACTCACTTCTGGAATCTGTCTGGGATGCATGTGCGGCACGCTTGGAAAGCCTTTGAGTAGTAGACTCCGGAGAATCGGTTTCTGTGGCCCTCCTCCTGCACCACAGCTTGCGGAGGCAGCGTTCAGCACCCATGAGGCACAGGTTGAACAGCATGACAGCTTTCGGTTCGCATGTTTCGCATGGGGCAATTCCGGCCCGCACCGACGAGGCTTGCAGCTCGAAGTGGACAGCCCCAGCGAGTCGATTGCGGCAAGCGCGCTGTGTGCGCTCATTTCCTGTCCGCACGGCTTTCGACTCAGGGTGACGGGAGCCTTGCGCCCTTGTTGAAGTTTGGCGTGTTGTCGGAGTTGTCTGCATAGCAAAATTCAGCAAAGCTTAAAGCTTGGGTGTCGGACCCCGAAGCCAACATGGAGAGTCTAGACCTTGCAGTTAGACCCTGCAGGCTGCCGTGCACCCCCCCGCCGCCCCGCCGCCACATTGCCTTGACATAAGAGCTTGAGGCAATTTGGGGTTGAAAAGCCCATGATCGCCCATGCCATGAAGCGCATGTCAATGGGATGAGAAGCTTTCCCCGGAGCCTCTGACTTGACTGCACTTCGGAGCTCTAAGCACGGCCGTGTGCTGAAACCTCCCGTGGCAATTGAAGTCGCCACAAAAACTCGGCGGTGTCACCCGCACTAGCGGTGCCAACCCGCTGAGCCGATGCGGTACTGCCAGTCGCGGTACCACTCAGCCCACCTTCTGTTGGCCTCCTCTCCTTGCCACGTGGTCTGCCACGTGTTCTGAGGCCACGCGGCTGCCTGTGACCAGCCCTGCTCTTGCTGGCCTTGTCCAGACCAGTCCTCCCACTGGCCAGGCGGGTGGCTTTGCCCACCAGTGCTGCTGCTCGCAGCCTCGCCGCCTCCTCGCCTTGCAAAGCCCACCGAGGAAGCTCGGCTCTCGTAGGCTAAGGAGCTAGACTGGCGCGCTCGTCCTTTCGGAGGAGTGCGGCCACCCCGTTTGGGTCCTCCGAGTCTGTGCTCGCAGCCTCTGACTCCTCACTAAGCCAGTCGGAGGTGTTCCCTTCTTCCTTGACCTCCTCGCCGAACAGTTACCGGTCAGGGGGCCCCCGAGCCGACCCCGGTACCACCGGTACCTTCTGTTTCCTGGCCCACGCTGCAACTAAAACATCCCTCAGTAAGTATTTTGGACTATGCTAGTACATTAGACAGCAGCTAGTCCGCTCAGGGCGCTCAGGTTGGAGTCGCTTGAGGCTTCTGTTGGGTCAGGGCTTGGAGCTCCAGGTCCCTCCTCAACTCCTGAAGGATGTTCGGTGCAAGTAGGTGTGCTGGCAAGATCTGCAAGAGAAGGCCCAGGCCGCCTCAAAGGTAAAAACGGCGCCGCTTTTCGCAGACTGCAGCTGGAGCTGAGGAGGGGTCCGATGAGTGCTTGTGTCGTGCGGCGCCAATCATTCAGGTCCGCGCTGGAGCGGAGGAGCTCCTTCGATTCAGACCACCCGGTTGAGGTCAGGGGCCCTAAAGCCTAAACCCTAAACCCCTTGGGCCTGGATACAATGCCGGAGACTCCATCAACTCCAGGCTGGTCATCTCGCAGCAGGGGATTTCATTGAATGCCACGTATAGCAGTGCCCCCCCGCATCCGTGAAACTCCCCGTGGAGCGCACTGGCCAAGGCGGATGAGGGTGCTTTCTACTTGTAGGGCCTGTCTTTGGGTCAAAGTAGAATCAATTCAGACATCCTGCTATGTCACTGGGTGCAGCCAGCGTCTGTGCAGTCTCAAGCAAGACCCGTGTCCTTTCAAAGTGGCTCGAGGGTCTTGGCAACCTGCAGCACACATCTTGGCAATCCGTTTCAGGTGCGAGCAATGTGTCTGACTGGCCATGGAGAGAGCCGGCCTTCTTGGCCTTCTTGACCCGGAGACGTGGGCCCTGCGTCGACAGCCCCATCATGGGTCACAAGCCCTTGGCCTTTTTGGCCTGAGCACGAAGAATGATGCTACAGCCGGAACGGTGGTCAGAAGCCACACTGCCCAAACCCGGCCACTCCAGTGAGGAGTGAGGCAGGTTTGAAACTTGCTTTGGTCAGCACAAATTAGGCTTCGGACGAATGATGTGCCCGTTCGGTAGTGAACAATGCACCTCCTGGGATGTCCGTTTGCCTGTGAGCTTGCTGTCAAAAAGCACCAAGGACCAAGGACGCGCAGGCTTTCGGGGGGGGCTTGAGTACGGGGGCAAGGGGGAAGGGCGCTCCATGCAGCACACACTCTTCAGGTGTAGATAAGCACGGATAGAAAGAGACACAAGGAAGGTGTGCAATGAATGTAGTGTGCGCTCTCTTCATTCACGCACTCTTAGAAAAAGATCTTTCCTGTTAATCCTATCGGGAATGAAGAAAATGCTGTGTAATATGCTATTATTAGCACTCCTTCCCTTAGAAATCATGTCGCTTCACTCAGTTTCTTCATGGACGTAGTAATGGTGTGAGCCAACCAGGAGCAGTAATCAGTAAATGAATGATGATGGGTACTCAAAACGAGATCGAGACCTCATTGCCTGTGAGGCTCTTGCAGTGGCTTGCAATTCACAACAACCAAGGGCTGCTTTGGAATTTCTTCGGTGCAGATGCAATGCATGAGTGGCTCTGAATAATCATGTGCAACGTGAACAATAAGACTGCAACCCGCCAAACTGAATCATTGGATCTTCATCATCTCATTGGCTTATATGCATGACATTGACACTTTCATGGTTAACTGTAAACGCTTGCGCGCGCGCCGAGTCGGCAGTCGGGCTGGTTCGAGCTTCGTTCGCGGACCGCCCCTGTACCCGGACAGTCCGAAACATTCCCCTAGTTCCTACAGTCGCTTTTCTGCTAATGCCGAAGCTTCTCTGTCCAAGTGCCAGCAGCACAGCTTTGCATGAATTTGTGCAGCATTCCGGATTCTGATTCGAGGCTTGGAGCGAACGCGCAGGCAACAGGTGTTAATTTGTCAGTTCAACACGCTGCCAGCATGCAGACCCTATGCCTCCAACGCTCGCAGCACCGCCTGCCAAGCAGCGGCCTCAGATTCTTCAACAGGTCCCTGACGGGGTGTTTGCGGAAATGAGGATGTGCCTTCAGGTTCTGGACGGGTTTTGTTTGCTCCTAACCTCTATATCCTAAACCCTAAACCCTAAATTCTATGCTCCTGTGCTCTTTGCTCTTTTGTGCCTTGTTTCTTTGCCAGGTGTCCTCAAGATGGCCACTTCTCAAGAAGGTTCGCACCATGTTTCAGCATGTGTCAGGCAAATATTTTCTCAAGATGAACATCTGTTTTCGCATGTGGAGAATCAGCTGCAGAGTCTCAGAATCACTGTTTTTTGGAGAAGATCAGCTGCAGAGTGCAATGACGTTTGGACTCAAGGCTATTGATTGATGATTCTACGTGTTGCCTGTATTGTGCTCTGCCTTGTATCATGTGTGCTTTTTGGCGCTGTTTCCATCCAGCAGTCGTGAGACACTTTGGCTCTTGCATGCTCAGTTTCACATCCGCAATTTTTCTGCTTCTAGGATTCCTGCAGGCTCCTCTATGCAATATGTCGCTCAAAAATTATCCATGCTTATGCTCTGGGTCTGTGCATCTTGCCCTGTGTCCTTGCGTGTGCCTTGTATGCCTTGTATGCCCTGTGTGCATTGTGTGCCTGTGTGCCCTGCGGACTCGCAACAATGCTCCTCTGATAGATTGTCGCCGTTGGTTCAAACTTGCCGCGTTGTTTGTCAGATCCGGATGCCGCGGTTCGCAGCATTGGTTGTTTGGTTTTGCTTTGGCCTGAGCTGGTCAGAGCGTGGCGTGCAGACAATGCGTCACGAGATCCATGCCCATAACACATTGAACGCGAATGAGACCCGTACCAGCCGCTGGGCTGCATCCAGTCGGGTTCTTTCTAATCCAGGGGTGCATCAGTTACCCTTATAGACCCCTTATTGCAACCCTTATAGACCCCTTATAGCAACCCTTATAGACCCCTTATAGTAACCCTTACAGAACCCTTGTAGTAACCCTTATAGGCCCGTTCTAGTAGCCCTTATACACCCCTTAAGGTTCCTACGTTACATGACAGAGTTCACACTGTTGATGATATAAATCCTGCATTGCCTTAAGAGCCCTAAACTATGGGAATTATGGTATTTTCTTTATTATGGGTAATGCAGGATTTATATCATCAACCGCAGTTCTTGGAGCCATGCCAGGAACCTGTGAGAGCCAGACTTTGCCACAGCAGATCCCAGCTCTAAATTATGGTGCCAAGCCGACAAAAGCTCTTTCCAACGAATGCTGGCAGAGGCGGGGGTTGCCGAAAATTGGGGGTGTACCCCATTTTGGGGTCCTTTTCATAGGGATTCTTTCTTTTCTGGGGTACTATATTAGGGTCCCCTGCTTCGGAAACTCCCAGGTGTGCGGCGGACGAAATCGCGGGAAAGTACCTCCATGAATCGGCTTTGAGGGGAATAGTAGGCTTTGCCCAGGATGATTCACTTGTCAAATCGGTGATCTACGGAACCTTGTATGCCACCGGTACGCTGCCCAATTGGCCTTTACATGAAATCTGCCAGAGCACCTTCGACCTCATCCAAATGAAGTGTCCGAGAGGTTACATGAAGAATTCCTGTGTAAAGGAGTTCAACGGCGACTACTTCACAAAGAGCAACCCTAAATGTGCCCGTGCATATGATGCTCTCGGGAAGAACAACGGGGAGTATCGATGCGCGTTTGCGGCTTGGTGGGACTCGTGCTGCAGTACCAGAGAGCACCAGGAAGATACAGAATGTAGGCAGTGCGGCCAAGACCAGTATTTCTGCACCTGAGACCGGTAGAGAGGCCTCCGTTCAAGGAAGGCCTCTTTCTCCTCGCGTGGTGCTTGGGTGACATGTGATGCCTGCTATACCTTGCCATGGAGTTCTGGGCACCGAAAGGCTCCGAAAATCCTGGTACGGCAGGCGGAGGATCGCCCTGTTCGGCACACCGCGCCGCAACCCCTGCAAGGCTGCTCAGCGCAGCTCATCATGGACTCTTATAGCAGTAGCTTCACTATCTCGTATAGAAAGTAGCTCCGATAGCAATATCTCTTATGGTAGCCATTCTAGGAGCTGAGCTGAACGGACGGATGCCGCGTGAAAAAGAGCGCGAGCTTCGCTGCAAGCCGATGCCTCAGTGCACGAAGCCTCCACCCCGCTGTACCCAGAAAGGCTATGTGGCAACCCCTAAACCCTGAACCCTAAACCAACACCCTGATCATTCATCCCTCAACCCTAAACCCCTAAACCCGTAAACCCCCTAAACCCCTAAACCCCTAAACCCCCAAACCCCCACACCCCGAAACTCCCGAAGGTCTTGCTTTGCTTTCATAGGAGGCCAAAAGGGGTTTTAGCCTATGGGGGTTTAGTAGGGATGAGGGTTCCCATAATAGGGTTCATATTAAGGAATCCCGACCCCAAGAATCTTAAACCCCCCTTTTGGCCTCCCATCATGCTTCTCTCTGGCAGGAACCCTGAAACTTCTCGGGCCGAGCTTGCAACCCGAGCCCCACAAGGGCCAGCTCCAGGAGTCCCCCGGTGCGGCTGAGGCAAAGCGGAATAGGGTTTAGGGTTCAGGGTTTAGGGTTTAGGGTTTAGGGTTTAGGGTTCAGGATTTAGGGTTCAGGATTTAGGATTTAGGGTTCAGGGTTTAGGGTTTGAAGTTTAGAGGAGGCTGCGAGGGTTTTCAAGGAGTTTTTGGCTTTCAGGTGATCTCTGCCCTTGTTTTTGTTGCGGTCTTGGGTTGAGCCAATCCGTAACTCAAGCTGCAGCCACAGTCCGAGCATCCCCGCTTTATTGGGTCAGGGTTTTTGCCTGTTCAATATTGGGCTCCGCTAGTATAGAGCACCTAGCGCGAGAGGGCTTTAGGGCTTTTCGGTTCAGGATTTAGTTCTGGGTCGACCCTTTGAGGGTGCGGGAGGGCTCGTTTGAGTGCCATTTTTGTAGGCATCCGGGCGGTTTCAAGCCCCAAAAGAGCGATCTTGAGCTCGTTGGACGTCACTGACAGGGGAGGGCTCGAGACCGGCAGATTTGAAGGCTTTTGTGAGCAATACATGCGAAGAATGAGCTTGTTATGCCGCACAAATGAAGTCATCCATGTCACACAGCCGTGGGAGCCTCAGACTTTTCTTCCCACCGATCATTCCCTTTTCCCATTGTGATGGCAACATGGGAGGAATTTATATCCGGTGTTGAGCAATCACCTCCATCTGCTGAGATTCGCAATAGGGTGGTGAAAGCCTTTACGGATGATCTGAGAGCTGCTACTCCCTGGGGTGCTGAAGGGCTCTCTGAAGACTCCTTCAACAGTTTACTGCAGGATTCTCCTCCTGCCCTGGCCCTTGCTAGAAGAACGTTGAGAAACGTGGAAGCAGCAGCAAAGGCTAGAAGAGTGCAAGTGACACAGTCCATGAGCTTGACAAGTGCCGCCGGGGTATCTGCAAGTGCCAGAGCATTGGCGGCCGCCATGTCGCCGTTGAAGACGGCAGATGCCCAGGATTTGCTGAAGAAGGCCCACTTGCCAGGCTTGCAGTTCCACTTGCAGCCAGACCAAGCTCTGTTCGATGTGCTCCAAGCGCACACCGATGAAGCGCGGAAGACGGGAAGAATTCCTTTCCATTTCGTTGACCTGACGGCCAAGGATACGCTGCCGTTGTGGGTGCCAAGTGACGGGGTGGGAGGCAAGTTCTCTTTGCGCGAAGAGGAAGAGTTAAGCCTGGCTAGCAATTCTCCGATTGGGAATTTGGGTGATCTGACAAGGGTGCTAAAGAGCGCTACTTCTACGACCAGGTTCTTTCGGTCAGTTCCGCAGTGGACGGCAGCATTCTGGAGATGGGCGGTGGCGGCCATTTCTGCAGAGCACATTACGTTGGCACAAGTTCTGGCTCATCAGGACGTGGTGTTGTCGATTTGTGAGCAAGAGAGGCTCAGATCTCGACCGCCATATGCGGGCTTTTTGTACGATGAAATGGCGAGAAGACAATGGGCTCGCAGAGCGGAGAAGAAAGATCCTTCGTTCGACCTCACCGCTGAAGCGCAGAAAGTTGACAAGGATCTGAAGGAAGTGGTCATGCAGAGGCTCGGGACAGTTCTGCGTTTGGCAGAGCTGGAGCACGATGTGATGGCAACTGCTTCAGGATCCAGGGTAGGAGAGCAGCAGTTGTCTCAGCAAATTGCTGCTGCAGAGGCAGCGCAGAGGAAAGCGGATGCTGTTACGAAGAACTTGGCATCAGCTCAAAAAGACATCCTTGCCAAAGCCGCAGCTGCAGCAGCAAAACCGACGAAGGAGAGCGAGGAGACAGGTGAGAAGCAGCTCACAGGCAAGCAAAAGAAAGCGCAGAAGTGGTTCCTGAAACAGAAGGAGCGGCGAGAGCAGCAGCAGTGGAACCGTGACAAGCAGAAAGGGTCTTACTGAAGTCGTGAAGCTGTGGAGCTTGCTAGTTCCATCCTGGAGCCGATTCCGCCAGCGTTGGCGGATTTGCCCGGGGTGGGCACGATCGCAGAAACTGCTGGCCAAGATACGTTTCTTGAGATTTTCTCGGGTGACTGCGTATTGACGTTGGCCATGTCATTGACTGATCTAAAGACTATCCTTCCGTGGGACCTGCGTTTCGGAGCTGAGTTTGATGTTTTGGAACATGGCGACTTAATTTTACAAAAGTCAGAAGCAGGTGCGCTGTCTTGGGTGCATCTGGGAACTCCTTGTCAAACCTTGACATGGGCTAGGCGGCCTCAGTTACGAAGTACTGTGCGCCCGTTTGGTTTGTCAGAGCTGTCTAGGCGCCAGCTAAAGCTTGTTGCCAGAGGCAACGAGCTGGCGTTGTTTTCCCTGAAAGTGTGCCAGTGCCAGGTCAAAAGCGGCAACTTCTTTTCAATTGAGAACCCTGAGCTGTCGTGGTTGTGGATCCTCCCTCCAATGATTCAGCTGAGAAGGAGTCAGGGAGTCGGTACTGTGAGGGTTCTGTTTTCAGACTTCCAGGTGCCTTTCCACAAGCCTACAGTGTTCGTGCATAACTCTGCTTGTTTGCATGAGTTGGCGAAGGGTGAGTCGTCTTGGCAAGGTCGCACAGTTAAGTTGCGAGGTCTGGCCAGGTACAATGGAAAACTGCAGTTTCGGACCCGTTTGTCACAATGTTATCCGCCTCTCCTTGGCATCAAATTTGCAGGTCTGGTGAGGCAGACCTTGTTGGATCAGCGAGAGAGCGGAAGTTGGGAAGCGTGGTCGTCATGCGTGGATGCTATGTCATTCCAGCTCCCGGACAGTTTGCGCATTGCTGAGGCGGAAGTTGTGGCGAACTGTTGTGGCGATTGGATGTTCGTCCCGCATGGACTGGGAGCAATGAAGGGGTTGTCACCACTTGAGCATGTTGCTTTCTCATTGTCTGTATCCCACCCGTCTGAAAGTCGGAAGCAGCTTGAAGCGACGCTAAAGGATGCAATTGAGTTCGAGTGTGGGCATGAAGTTGGTGAAATTGATGCTTTTCGTTGCTCTACTCTCAGTAATTTCTTGAGACTGCACGCAAGCTTGCAGCAGGAGCACCTTGAATGGGTGCGTCAGGCACCAGCTGCGTTGCAAGGGCATGCTGCAAAGATACACGGCCCTTTGTGGAAGGTCGTGTTGCAACAGTGTGGCATGCCTTGTGAGCAGTTTTTGCATGACTTGCAGTTTGGTTTTCCCCTCGTTGGTGATTTGGCAGCATGTGAAGGAGAAAGCGTGGCTTGCCAATTTGAGGCCGCAATTACTGTTGAGGAGCTTGTGAACAGTCGGCATGATATCAATGAGAGGGTCATTGCGTCAGTGAGCGAGTTGCCTTTTTCTTGTGATATTTTGAGTCAAGCTTTGCAAGATTCGGAACAAGGTTTTATGTCGACACCACGGGCCTTTGCTCCGGGTGATGCTTCACATCTGTCTTTGACGAGACGGATCCCTGTTAGAGAGGAGCGCTCGAAAGGTTGGAGGACCAGGGTGGTCGACCATAGCACTGAAAGTATGGTCAATGCTGCCACCGTTCCTTGCGACAGAATCAAACATCACACGTTGGATGATTTGGCGGACATGGTAATGTGCTTCTTCGAAAGTAGCTGCCAGGTGTGCTTGTGGAAGGCTGATATTTCACAGGCATTCCGCCGTGTCCCCATCAGGACTGAACATATGCAATTTGCATGGACCGTGTGGATGCACTTAGGTTGCTTGCTCGTGGCGCAGCACACAGGTATGCCCTTTGGCACCGTGTCAGCAGTTTACGCTTGGCACCGTGTTGGTTTCATGTTGTGTCATGTCGGGCGGGTGTTGTTTTTGTGTCCAGCAGCCAGATGCGTTGATGACTTTTTCGGAGCATCACGCCGTGGTGTTCGTTGGCATGCGGGACGTGTCCTTGCAGTGATCTGCAAGTTGCTTGGTTTTCCCGTTGACGACGATAAATCAGCAGAAAACGACATACGGTTGATAGTCCTGGGCGCCGAGTGTGAAGTTGATTGGCCAAGGCGTCAGTTACGCACTTGCGTTGCCCCGGCAAAGGCAGCGAAATACAGATGCCAGCTGCTTGGTGTCATAGCTGGCGGTGTGCTCACACCAGGTGACGCTTCCAAGTTGGCTGGTCGCTTGTCCTTTGCTGTGACAGTGTCGGGCAACAGGGTTGGTCGAGCATTCATAAAGCCGTTCCATGCTCAGGCAAACCAACCATTGTTCAACAATGCTGTTTCTCCCTTGTTGAGGCAGGCATGCAGTTGGTTCCTGCAGTACCTTGAACACTGTCCCACTTCCGTGCGTCTGCTCGCCCCGTTGACGCGGT